ACGATAAAACTGAGCTTCCAGCAATTAATGATCCAGTTAACAGATCCATTACATGACACGCAAGGGTGCCAAGCAGGCTTTCTAATTTAGGAAAGGTCAAGCAAAGGAGAGAGCACAACACAAAACACACCTTTTTTTGCACTAAAGAAGTTTAATAAAACAGAGTAGCAGAGTTGGAAGGGACCTTGGAGGTTATCTAGTCCAACCCCCTGCTCAAGCAGGAGACCCTGTACTGGGTTGGACTAGAAGACCTCCAAGGTCCCTTCCAACTCTATTATGATTATCTTCTCCAATATTGTTTTCTGGTCTGGTCTGGTCTGATTTACCCTACCCCATCTTATTTTGCCCTAAATTTCCAACTAACATATTTCATTTAAAGGCAAACAGTCACAAAGGCTTAGGGATTTACACCAAATTTATTAGCTGGAAAAGCTGTTACCGGATTCCTTGCAATTTTCAGGAAAAACGGAACTGGGCATGATGGTACAGGAGGCAACACGGAACATGAAGAAGCATCTCTGGGAACAACTAGGAGCCAAGGGTGTCCTAGCTGAATACAATAGATCAACCCAACCCATTTGAAGTGGGGATAAAATCTTGCAAGCTGATTGGTCCCTTGTTTAGGATAACAGATTAGCAGAGTTGGAAGGGACCTTGTAGGTCGTCTGGTCCAACCCACCACCCAAGCAGGAGACCCTACACCATTTCTGACCGATGGCAGTCCAAGTCTCTTCTTGAAAGCCTCCAGGGATGAAGCTCCCACAACTTCCAAAGGCAACTTCTGTTCCATGGGTTGATTGTTCTCACCGTCAGAAAAATTCTCCTTATTTCTAGGTTGAATCTCTCCTTGTCCAGTTTCCATCCATTGTTCCTTGCCTGGCCTACAGGTGCCTTGGAGAATAGCTTGATCCCCTCTTCCTCTCTGGGGCAGCCCCTCAAATATTGGAACACTGCTATCCTATCTCCCCTGGTCCTTCTCTTCCCTAGACTAGCCAGGCCCAGTTTCTGCAACTGTTCTTCGTATGTTTTAGCCTCCAATCCTCTCATCATCCTGGTTGCTCTTCTCTGCCCTCTTTCTAGAGTCTCAACCTCTTTTTTATAGTGTGGTGACCAAAACTGGATGTGGTACTCTAGGTGTGGCCTTACTAAGGCTTTATATAGTAGTACCTCACTTGATTTTGATTGAATCCCTCTGTTAATGCAACTTAACTGTGATAGTTCACTCATGCTGGTTCGAGGGACTAGGATTTCGGCTCACTTTGTAGTTTGTACAATCCTGTGCAGAGCAGAGGTTTTTCTTCCAAGAATCTTGACGCAGAAGGATCATTTTCCTCCTCCATACTTCCCTCCCAAACGGGAGGCAACCTGTCGGTTCCCTCTCTTCCGAGTCAGTAATTAAGGGGACCCTCTTCCCACAATGCCAGCCGCCCCCCCTCGCCCAGAAACGTCCATTGTTCCCTTCCCATCTGGTGCTGAGTAATCAGCCCGCCACAAAGTGCAAAGCCCAAATTGCACCCAGCAAATAATATTTAACTGGAGCAGTTGACAGTTTAATTCTAGGGCGAGAGAGGCAGCCATAAATGCCTTATCCTAAGATTGTGGTCTGCACATTTCAAAAAGCAGACTTCCCTGCCTCTGCTAGACTGATTTAGTTTCCTCTTAGGATTTATTTATAACATTTCTGACTTGCTTCTTGTCGATATACTGACTCCACCCAGAAATTAAAAAACTTCGGACCAGACCGTAAACTCATTTCCTACCAAAGCAACTTTGCAAGTAAAACCACGCTAAATCATCGCCAACGTCATGGCTGGCTGGGCAATTCTGGGAGTTGAAGTCCACCCGTCTTAAAACAGGCAAAGGTTGAGAAACACTGATCTACACAATCAATTGTCTAGTCCAGGGGTCCCCAAACTTGCCAACTTGTGGACTTCAACTCCCAGAATTCTCCAGCCAGAGAATTCTGGGAGTTGAAGTCCACAAGTCTTAAAGTTGCCCAAGTTTGGAGACCTCTGATTTAGTCAATGAAACACACACCAAGGTCTTTTTGGCATTCCTTTTGGCTTTTATCATCATCCAGCGTAGATTGGTATTCCTTTCCAAAATCCTGCTTGTACATGAAGCAGTTTCCTGATTGACAGTTGGGCTCAAATGTCGCTAGATTATTTTCTGGAGAATTTTTCTCATGGGTGGTACCAAGTCTATGACTCGGTGGTTGGAACAGTCGTTAGTATCACCTTTCTTTGGTATTGGGATAAATGCTAATCAATGTTTACTTAGTACTATTACTGTCCCTTTTTGAAAGCTTTTATCAGCAACCCCCAGCCACGTTTTTGCATCTCCCAGCACTCCCTAATTCCCCTTCTCTAGTTTATGAGGTCTGCGGCCACATCTGACTTCCTTCTTTGTTTTATCCAGAGCTCTTTTCAATTCAAGTCTCTTTTAGAAACCAGTTTCCTGTTTTGGTCACCAAGCAACATTGTGCAAAATAGTATACCATGATTTGATTTTCTTTCAGTCTATTAAAAAAATGTCTTTTTGACATGCAACAAAAATATTCCAATTGCTACGTAGGGAGATTTTGTAATATTTACACACACACACACACACACACACACAAAGGGAGAGAGAGGGGGGAGGGAGAGGGGGAGGGAGAGGGAGAGAGAGTACCTCTTGGGAGATTTCAAGATGTTTTTCTGCAAAGTGTAGGGCTTGTTCATACTTCCCAAGCGAAACATAAGCATTCTCCAAACTCCAGCACGCTCTTCCTTCTCCCACTCTGCAAGATCAGGAATGATTGTTAGGAAAATCACAAAGTGCTTTTGTTGTATTGGTCTGGACGGACACACCAGGCAGACACAGGAGCTGAAGAGTAACGTTTCTTTATTGAAGCAGTAACAGATTAACGTGGCTGCCCAGCTGGGCTGGCAGCCGGCTGGCTGGAGCCGGAGCCCCAACTCCCCCAGCTGATGCCGTTTGACAGCTCCTTATATAGTCTGCTGTCAAACGGCACCAACCAATGGGAACAGTAAGATGGTCCCGCTCAAAATGCGGACCAGGTTGAAGACTTAGCTAGTCAGGGACACAACAGCTTTAAAAAGCCAGTTTTCTGGGGATCAATCTTGATCCCAAAATCTCAAGTCAATATTTGCGTGGAGCGCTAAGAGAATCTAATTCACATTTTGTCAGGGCGGGCTTCAAAAAATTTAGCAACTGATTCTCTCCTTGGTTGCTGGGTGGGCGTGGCAATGGTGGGTGTGGCCTAGTCAGCCTCCTGCACCGAAGCGGGGAAGGGGGTGTTTTCGCCCTCCCCGGGCTCCGAAGGTTTACCTTGGTCCCTCTGGAGGCCAGAAACGGGTCCATTTCCAGCTTTACGCAACTTCTGGAGGCCCATTTTTCACCCTCCCTGGGCTCCAGAGGCTTTCCTTAAGCCACTGGGAGGCTTGTTTCCTCCCTCCCCAGGCCTCAGAGGCTCTCTGGAGGCCCTTTTCTTGCCCTCCCCGAGCCTCTATGTGGGCCCTGCACTTACATGGGATCCAAAATGGGCCGTGTGGAGACTCCTAGGAGGGGTGGGATGGGCGGGGCGAGGCCAGCCAGTTGTTGCAATGACTACTTCAACTGTAAAATTAACATCCAGTTCGCCCGAAACGGTGCAAACCGGTAGCAGGCCATCCCTGCATTTGCAATACATGCCTCTCGCTTGGTTTGGGTTTAGGATTTCATGGAGCGTCAACCACTTGTGTGTGCTCAATCAGCCATAAACCAAGGCGAACTATGGTGTGACAGTAGACCGCAATTATTCTGGTTATAGAGGTCTATGAACATTTATCAGGTTACAGCAATGTTTCTCACCTTCGATAACTTGGTAACAGAAGCTGTGTAGACTTCAACTCCCAGAATTCCCTAGCCAGCATGCTAAGATTACAAGACAGCATGGTCAGCTGCCAGCCTGTCAGGCCTTCCTCCGATCAAAACTCAAGAAAGAAAAGCCCCAACTCCACTGAATTAGAGAAGAGTACTTTTACTAAGTTTGAAATGATAGCAGCAAAAGCAAGGCAAGATCTGATCCAAGATGCATGAAGTTACACACTAAAAGTCACCCCAAATCCCTCCCCCCAGGTTCCAGCTTTGAGAGTCCAATCAACGTCCAGTATGATGTTATGGGAAAGCTCCTCTTTAGGTATTTCTTGAATCTGGAATTTCAGGACAGTTGGCCTTGATGGAGTGTAAACAACTCCACTCAGCAATGCCACAATTCATGAGTGCAAACCTTCCTTCCATTTTCTCATGGGACTACTATACACCAATTCAATTCCCCAACCCAAATTCCCAAGCCCCCCTCCCCTACCATCCTATCTCATGCTTTGTTCTCTCATCTCAGGTCAATCCTTGTTCCCTAATTCCTTATTTCACTTGGGGGAGCCCTCCCAAAAAAATAATTATTAAACAAATACTGTCCAACTATTTATAAAGTCTGCACTACTATTATCTTCTCAACACTCCTGATCACCTATCCCCTCCCATTTGTGACTGTATGACTGTAACTTTGTCGCTTGTATCCTTACGATTTTTGTTGACTGTTTCCTAGTATGATTTGATTGCTTATTGTACCCTATGACTATCATTAAGTGTTGTACCTGATGATTCTTGATGAATGTATTTTTTCTTTTATGTACACTGAGAGCATTTGCACCAAAGGCAAATTCCTTGTGTGTCCAATCACAGTTGGCCAATAAAGAATTCTCTTCTCTTCTCTTCTCTTCTCTTCTCTTCTCTTCTCTTCTCTTCTCTTCTCTTCTATTCTATTCTATTCTATTCTATTCTATTCTAGGGCAGAGGGATTACAGGTCCTAACATTTCCAGCCAGAATGATAATATTGCAAATAGTTCCAACCTTGGAGAGCCTCATGTTCTTGTATTGTTATGTTCTTTCTAGCCCATCAAGAAACCTTGAAGACGGCCAAAAATGTCAACTAAGACACTTAATTGCCAATAAAAGTTATTAACAAAGGATTTTGGGATGTTTACCTGATGGGGGACAGGTAGCATGCTGGCTGGGGAGTTTTGGAAGTTGGTCCATACAGTTTAAAGTTGCTAAATTTGAGAAATGCTATTCTAAAACATTACCATATTTGGCTGATGCATCTCGGGCTTCCTTTCAGACCCAAAAGGAGAGAGAAAAGTAACAGCCAGACAAACTGGTGAGATTGAAGTGTTCTGCCCAGCTTCAATCAATACAGAGCTGGATGGGACCTTGGAGGTCTTCTAGTCCAGCCCCCTGCTCAAGCAGGACACCCTACAGTGTCAGACAAGTGGCTGTCCAGTCTTTTTTAAAAAACTTCCAGTGATGAAGCACCCACAACAACTGAAGGCAAACTGTTCCACTGGTTAATTGTCCTCGGTGTCAGAAAGTTTCTCCTTAATTCCAAGTTGCTTCTCTCCTTCATTAATTTCCATCCATTGCTTCTTGTCCTGCCTTCTGGTGCTTTAGAGAATAGTTTGACTGCCTCTTCTTTGTGGCAGCCTCTCAAATACTGGAAGACTGCTCTCCTGTCTCCCCTAGTCCTTCTTTTCTCTAGACTAGCCATACCTAATTCCCGTAACCGTTCTTTGTATGTTTTTGTCTCCAGGCCTTTAATCATCTTAGTTTCTCCTCTTTGCACTTTTCCCAAAGTCTCAACCATCTTTTTTGTAATGTTACAGAGGTGAAGAAACACTGTTTTATAATAAATAAGTGGCTCAAATCAAGGCACCCACCCCATTGCTGCTCCCCCTGTTCCCTAAGCCATCCAGATCTGACAGTTAAAACAAAACCCTAGAAAGTTGTGTCTGGTTTTGGGGGAAGCCGGTGGATAATAAATGCAGGAAATAGACAGAAATACAGACAGACATTCAACAGATCATGTTCTGCCATGACTTTCCTGTTACGGGTGGCATGGCCCTTGAATTCAGGTCTGGAAAATTTACCAGGGAAAAAGAAAAGAAAAGGTGGCAATGCCATCTTGTGGTAAAACAGGAAAATAAAGAACAGGGATGATTAAGCTTGCAGTAAACTTTTAGCTATACAATTTGGAATGAACACCCTTGGAATGGTGTGGGAGGAGGAAAAATTGCAGACTACAGGAACCATTTGCATCACACAGGTGGCCCTGAGGACACAAATAGACCTCCAAGCGGCCTCAATGACCCTCTAAAAGGATGCAAACAACCAGCTATCTGCAAGGAGCATAAATCCTTCCATTCCCCACCATCCAGTCAGAGCTGAAGAAGCTTCTTGGATGAGAAGCGAAACGTCTTCAAAAGAAAAAAGAAGAAAGTCCAAAATAATCACCTTTAGGTAAGGGTGACCTGGATGATGGAGAATCTCTACAGATTTGCAGTCTGATACGCTGAGGAGAAAAAAGGCTTCTTTGATTTTAGGGATAGGTTTGGGAACAGGCTTAAGTTTCATCTGACGTTTCAGATTTCATCTTCATTTGCAGCACCCAGTTTCATTTAATGACCATCCAAAGCTGGGAAGATTAAGTAGAGACTTGACTAGATATTTGATACAGATTAAGCGAGACCTGGCTCAAAAACAGTAACTGTGAGAGCGATCTTGGAGTCCTAGTGGATGATCACTTAAATATGAGCCAGCCGTGTGAGGCAGCAGGTGAAAAAGTGAATACAACCCTTGGTTGTATAAACGGAGGCATAGAATCAAAGTCAGAGGAAGTAATTACTACTGTCAGATCCATGTTCCTGCCATTCTTCTATGGAAGAAGAAGGGAGGGGGAAGTTGGTACAAGTAATTCTTTTGATGTAACCTGAATATATTAAATCTTATATTGAATCTGTATATAACCTACACATGATATACAACTGGAGGACTGGAGCCAGATGGCTAGAAACTTGTCACCTCTTGGAGAGATAGCAAGTGAAGAAGGGACCATAAAAATTCCAGCTCCGGAAGATACTCCCTGGGAACTCTTCAAAAGATACGTTCTCAGAGAAGGGGAGGGGGGAATTAACATGTTGGTTCTTTGTTTGACTAAATACACATCTAAACAAGGGGAGGGGTCCTAACTCCCCTTATCTATTACTGCATGCCTGGGAGCATTTAGACTCGGCTTTGACTAGTGCTGGAATCATCTCATTTCAATAAAGGATTCCTTTTGAAATGCTTATTTCCAGAAGTTCATTCTTTTCGGTTGAAGGGAAAAAGACCAGTGCTTACAATTACTTCTTTATAAAGCCTTAGTAAGGCCACACCTGGAATACCGCATCCAGTTTTGGTCACCTCATTACAAAAAAATATGTTGAGACTTAAAAAGTGAAGAGAAGAACAACTCAGGTGATTAAAGGCCTGGAGACTTAAACATATGACAAATGGTTGCAAGAATTGAATATAGCCAGTCTAGAAAAAACAAGGATTAGGGGTGACATAATAGCAATATTTCAGTATTTGAGGGGCTGCCACAAAGAAGAGGGGGTCAAATTATTCTCCAAAGCATTAGAAGGCAGGACAAGAAACAATGGATGGAAACTCATCAAGGAGAGAAGGAACCTGGAATTGAGGAGGAGCTTCCTAACAGTGAGGACAATTAACCAGTGGAACTGCTTGCCACCAGAAGTTGTGGCTGCTCCATCACTGGAGGTTTTTAAAAAGAGACTGGACAGCCACTTGTCTGAAATAGTATAGGTTTTCCTGCTTGTGCAGGGGGCTGGACTAGAAGACCTCCAAGGTCCCTTCCAGCTCTATTCTGATTCTCTCTGTGGGTTGACCTTAGTGTCTGAAAACCTCACCACCCAACCCAACCCAACCCAACTTAATTCAACAGAAGTGAAGCCAACTCAACCCAACTTAATTCAAGCCAAGCTAACTTAAGCCAAACTAAGCCTAACATAGCTACTATCCTTTGGAGTCACCATCTGTTACCAAATCACCTTTCCATTCCATTCGATTCTCACCAGCATAAACTGGACAGTCCCTCCCGGTTCACCATAAACCGAACTAGCTTCCTGAACTGCATGTTTGTCATTCTACCAAAAGAGACCTCAAGATCAATACCAGCAGCACAGGAAACAGATCTTTCTTACCTGTCTCCAAGTTCCTGGGCGATGGCCAGGTGCTTTAGGTGGTACTCCACAGCCTTGTCATAGTCTTCAAGAAGGGTGTAGGTGTTTCCAAGACTGTAGCATGTCTGGGCTTCCACTGTTTGGTCCTTCAGCTGCCTGGAGAGGTGGAGGGTTTTTCTAAATTAAGAGAGAAGAGAGGGAAGACTTCTTCCACTGAACATTGAAGGCACCTCATGTTCTGCCCATATTGAAAGATCACCTTCCCCAAGCTGGGGTACTCCAGGTATGTTGAAAGGTGAGAATTCTGGTATGTCTGGAGGCCCCCAAGTTATGAAAATCCACAGACCTCATTGGGTCAAAACAACTATAATAGATCAGACTTACTGGATTCCATTCTGTTTACGTGGAAATGGAACAATTAAATGAGCATATTGTTGGAGATGCCCTAAGAATCAAAAGACATGTTTCTTTGGTATATTAAGCTGTCACATTCTGAAAGGAGAAGGGAACAGCTGGGGAACAAGGGCTGACTTGGAAGTAAAGCCACAGGTGGACGTTGAATGGCCACTCCCCAGAGTATAAAAGAGGAGCGAAAGGGGAGTGGGGCTTTGCAGGAGACAATTTGTTCATTTCGGCATGCTTGCCAAGTTTTGTGGCGTCTGAAAGATATCAACCTGGCCACTCTCCAAGCCTGATAAAGGTCTGTAATTGAGAACAATTTTGAAGACTGTTGGCAAGGACTTTGTTGGAGTGGAAATTCATTGTAGATTAAATAAAAGGGGTTTATCGCAGGGGTCCCCAACCACCGGGCCCCGGACCGGTACCGGTCCGTGGAACATCTTCTACCGGGCCGCCAGTTTGCTGGGCACCGCCATCTTGTTTCGATGAGAAAGTGCTTCTGGGTGAGCTTTTCCGGTTGGAAAGCGGCGTTTGGGTCCTGAAGGAATCCTCGCGCCTTAGTTTCATCGAAGGGGGGGGGCTTCGAACGAAACTAAGGCGCGAGGATTCTTTCAGCACCCAAGGCAAGGCGAGCTGAGTGACCGTCCCGAAGCCATCCCGAAGCCCATCGACAAAGGTACAAAGGAGGAGTTGAAGGTGGCGGGGAGAAGCGGGGGATGGCTGGCTGGCCGGTCGCTCGGCTCGTCTTGTCTTGTCATGCCTGCGATGCCGGTACCGGGCCACGGATCATTTTGTGATGCCGGTACCGGGCCGTGGCCCAAAAAAGGTTGGGGGCCACTGGTTTATCGGGACGAGGACTCAACTTCATGCTGTCGAGGAAACCTAGGCCACAACGCCAAGCTCAGAAAGCAACCAAGGACTTCACAGTTCAACCTTGATCTGCGAATGTTCTCTTCTATTGGAGTCTCCCGTGTTTTCTTCTACGTTCAGGACAGTAGTTATAACCGGGATGTAGGATCCCTTTGCTGATCTACTGCTATGAATCCAAACAGATCGGACCTGGAGGGTAGTGGTTCCCCTGAGACACCCACTGCTTACTTGTAATACTCTGCGGCAATATCGAAGCTCCCCAGGAAGATGTGAGCGTTGGCCAAGTTGCTGTACGCTCTCCTCTCGGCAGCGCGGTCTCCAAATTCCTTAGCGATGTTCAGCCGCTGAAAATGGATAACGTCATGGGTGTCACTGCAGCAATATACCACCTCTATTTTTTTTAAATTTTTAAAATACTTTATTGAATACAAAAGGTTACAATATACAAATATACAAAAGTAAAAAATAAAAAGTCATACACATAAACATCACAACACATTCTGTAGTAAGACTAATCATATTTTCCTCTAATACATTTTGATAGTGATTTAAATATCTCCTAGAAAGTATTAAATGGCGGTTATTTCCTATCCCTTGTAGAATAGCTGTATTAATAATATATAATATATAATAATCTATTATTACTGTTGGATTATAACTATGTATTTTATAGAGAAGTCATTTATATAGCTTAGTCAAAGAGAGAGAGGAATAAAACTAGTATTCTATAAATTCCTATCCAAGTTTAGCATATATATGATAGTATGTTTCATAGGTTAATTATTTCCCCTTATTTCATGCATTCTTTTTTTACAATCTATCCAATCATACCATTTATCCCAAAGCAAATAGTATTCCGAGTCATCCTTTTCTTTTAATTTTAATGTAAGCCTCTCTATTTCGGCGCATTCAATAATTTTCTGAATAATAAAGTACTGTATATGGGCGGTAAGTTGGGCAACTTACCGGGATATGTCACCTCTATTAGGGCACCATCATTCTAGTCTTCCCCAGCTGATGTACATGTTGACCCTGAAGTGAGCCTGGCTGAGGCCATCTTGAAGGCTTCAGGGTTGCCACACAACAGAGGGAAGGGGGGAAATAGCTAGATTGGGGTTTTGTAGCCAAAACAATACAGTTTTCCTGTGGGAACCAAGGACGTTCTAACAAGTGGCTGGCCAGAGGAGGAGCAAGTAACCAAGCAACCAGCCAGCACCTTGATTGGACAGCGTCACCAGTGACTTGGGGAAAAGGGGGAACCTTTACTTTTTAATTAGGTGAAAGCTGTGAGAATTTTCAGAGTCGGCTTTCCTCAGTTATGCCAATAAGATGTGTCCAATAAGTTGTTCTTCGAGGAACTTGCCTGCTTTGGAATTCTGCTTTCTAGGATTTGGGTTTTCCCAGATGTGCCAGTATAACTACTCTAATAAAAGGAAACTTTTGAGAAAATGCCTGTCTCACAGTTTTTAATTGGAGTTGGGTTGTTCTGGAACCCTGACAGGTGCATTACTTGGAAAGCTGACAGTACATTTGGCAACAAAAGAACCAAGGAGTTCCAAAAGGCACACTTATTGCTTTGTTCAAAATTCAGCACACACGCCCAAAATTCTCACTCGATTTTATTTACACATAGATCAGAATTGGGACTGGAATTTCCACCATTAGTCATTGCAGTCATCAGTAGAATTAGTCCCAATTAATTATTGGCAATTATTGGCAAATTATTGGCAAGGTTTGTATATATTTGTCAAGGTTCAGACTGTTCTGCCCCAACCTTGTTACCAGCAAGAAAATCTCAAACAAACGCAGCAACTCAAACCTTCACAGCTTTAATCTACAAATAAACTTCTTTGTAGATAAAAGATGGCTTGAAGACAATTAGTCCAACCAGAAAAGCCTTGACAGGATTCTTTAGATAATCTGGAGTCTCCACACACAATGCTGGATCCTTAGAGCCTTCTGCAAGGGCAAAAACCTTTTAAAACCAGGCTTATATTCCCTGGAGGGAGGGGCCGCCTTACTCCCGAGTCGCCTGTGATGCTCCAGCTGTTCTCTTCTACAAATCATCCTGCGCTCATGCGTACTTGGCACAGGCTCCTCGGGAACCTCCTCATCGCTGCTGCCAGCCTCCACAATCCCTGAAGGCAGCAGTCCACTCCCTGATGGTCCTGGCCGCTCATCAGAGTCATCGCTCTCCTCAGCCATCTGCACCTGCTGCCGGCTAACCACAACACCGATTGATGGAACCCAACCAAGCAAGCACTGTCGAGATGATCCAATCTCTTAATGCAAAACTTTATTGAGTACATCATTTCAGCACAGATGAAAAGCAAAACCAACTCTGGCTAATTCCCACGCAAACCCATATAGTTAAAGAATAGACTTCCCGCTCCCTTGATTAGTGCAAGTCACATTGTCCAATGGAGGGTCAGTATATTGTTATGGGAAAATGTCTTTAAGCTTCGGCAAACACCTGCAGAAGTGTCCTTGGTTCCCATGGGTTGTCTTGGGTGATGTCTGGAGCTTGCATTCCAATTCCCCTTCCCTCCCCCCTAGTTCATCGGCAAGCGCACTTCGAACTTGACAACATTGTTGTAATAAATCTTTTAAGTGTAACCCCCAACATATATTTGTAAGGATCTGCATGGCCCCGATTCCCACTCCCCCCCCCCAAACGCTGTAGATCTCTACAATGGGTCAGAAAGGACACCACCCCGTGCTTCACCTGCTTATGGAAGACGATAGCTTTGTTGAAGTTGCCCATCAGGTAATGGGCATTGCCCAGGTTCCCGTAAGCCCTGCCTTGTGCAGCTCTGTCAGCCAACTCCTTCACGAGGGAAAGGTTCCTCCTATGGGTAAGCCAGAAAAAAAAGAAGAAGCCCTTAATGTTCAAGAAAAGGACCAGAAAGCCATTTCAAATAGGACATCTGTGCATTCCTGAAAAGCATCATTGCCACCCTTCCATTTCCTCACTTATCATTTCTCTCTTTTCTTTTTAACAACTCAGGCTTTTGTCTGGAGTTCAGTTTCATGTCTTCCCCTCCAGAGACACATTTAAAGTGCCGTGAGATTTCCTTGTGGTCTCCTCTCCCCACTTTATTTTTTTTTTTTATTTTCCCACTTTTTTTAAAAAAAAAAAATTGGAATTAGAAAAAAAAAATCCAGTCACTGTGTGACCTACACAGTTTGCATATTTCCTGTAGAGTTGTAATTGCAGGAATGTTCCAATCTCGGATGGCAAACCTCAGATAAAGAATGTTTCCAAGCAAATACAACTCAGGTAAACAAAGTCACTAATCTAAAGGAGGATTAGAGAGAGGAAGTAAACATATGTTAGACTTTAACTAGAGATAATTAATTGTATGGATTACTGTGCTAAACAGTAACGAAAGTTAAGCAGTAACAAAAGTTAACCAATGATGGAGGATAACTAAAAATGTGTATAAATGCAAAGACTAGACTCCAATAAAGATGATCATGATTCAGTTGTTCATGATCAAACAACTCGACTGCCTCGTCATTACAACAATTTCCTTTTTCAAACGTAAGTTCCTTTTTTTCCTCCTTCTCACACCCCGCCCCACTGTTTTCCCTCCACCCCCTGTTAAGGCCAATACTGTCTTCTGATTTTTGTCATATTTTTATTTCTCCCCAAAACCTTGCCTTCTTCAGAAGGAAAAGAAAAAAAAGAAGAAGAAGAAAAGGGAAAACTGGGTTATGTCACTCCTCCAGGTTGTTGTCGTTTTTTCCTTTTCCTTTTTTTTTCATTTGTTAAGTTGTGCCCCATCACGCAGACAGGGCAACCTGGATTTTTGGTGGCGGGAGAAGAGATGGAGCTGGGGAGGGGGTATTAACTCACCCCTTCGCCTTTCTTGCTTACACTTTCTTGCTTTACACTTCTCTCCCCATTTTAATGGATAACATTCCAAAGCCAGACAAGGTAGAACCAAAATTATTGCTGCTGAGGCTTTTTAAAAGGAGCAACGCAGGTAAACAAGCCACTGAACAACATCATTGCACTAATAATGGAGATGGAAGGCTTGGGAGGGTAGAAAGGCGATGTGTGTGTGTGTGCGGGGGGATTCATTCTCCCAACTTCTCATAGTGAGGCAAAAGTAGAGAAAGAAGTTCTAAAGTGGTTGGGAAGAAGAGGCAGACCTGCCAAAAGAGTTCTCACCAACTTCTTGGTGCCCAAGAATAGTAGGGAGAAGTACCAGCCTCAGCTTGGCTTGGCTCTCTTTGCAACCCAAGATAACTCCTGGAAAGATTGTGAGTGTACCCTGAATATTGTGGGGCCTTCATGGGACCCCCGTTCCTCTCCACCTGGAGAAGACCATTCACTTACTTGTAAAATTCAGATGCCTTTTGCAGAGCCTCTTGAATCTCCTGGGGCAGCTGGCCTGGTTCCTCCTGGGGCAGGGTCCACAACGCCTCCTTGCCTTTGGCATGGTAGACATTGCCGAGGTTATACAGTGCTCGGGCCTCCCCCACCTATCAGAAAGAAGAAAGAAAAGAGCTCCTGAGGTCCCTCCAAGTATGTGCCCCCCCGCACAAAGGCCCAAAGTCCAGCTGGACGGCGGGAGGCATGCACATTTGCACAGTGGAGCTTAGCTGGGGTGACAGCGTGGGTGCCCAGAGAAAGGGCTCTGCGTGCCACCTGTCACAGGTTCGCCACCATGGCCCTAACCCAATGTTTCTCAAACTTAGCAATCTTTAGGATGTGTGGAATTCAGCTCCTAGAATTCCCCAGCTTAACTTAATCTTAACCCATTCTGGCTGGGGAATCTTGGGAATTGAAGTCTACACATTTTAAAATCACCAAGATTAAGAAACACTCCTCTAGCTAGAAGCCAGCAGTAGAACAGTGTGGCTTGGGTGGGGCGTGGTTTGGAGGTTTGGGCCGTCTATTTCACCCCCACGAAACCTGAATTCCCTCCCAAAAACTTTTAGACTGCAATGAAAATTGTGTATAGTGTTAGAAACCACCCTTTATACCATGTTTCTCAACTTTAGTTGGCCTGGGAGTTGAAGTCCATCCATCTTAAAGTCAACAAAGGTTGAGAACCACTACTTTCCACTGATTCAGCCCTCAAACTGGCTTTCGGTTTTTCCCAAAATTTCTTCCCTGCTGTTCCAAAGGTGTTTTTTTTTTCAAGAGGCAGCTGGACTTTCTTGTTTTTCCTTGAAGAAGTTTCGCTTCTCATCCAAGAAGCTTCTTCAGCTTCTTCTCATCCAAGAAGAGTCTTCCACTCTGACTGGATGTGGGGAATGGTTCTTGGAAGAGATGTTGGGAGAGAAGAAAAACCAGAAAGTCCAGCTGCCTCTTGAAAAAGCACCTTTGGGACAACTGTGACCTGGATGACTGAGAATCTCCATGGACATCCCTGCTGAAAAGAGACTACAGTTTTTCTTCTGATTCTTAAGATGCTTTCAAATTTCTCTTTGCAGTGTTTTTCTGCTCTGGATCTCCCCCCTTTGGCTGCTCAGTTTTCCCACTAAAGGCAAAGTTAATTGACGAGCATATGTGCCAGTCGTTTCTGGCTCTGGGGGGACGGTGCTCATCTCCGTCACAAAGCCGAAGAGCCAGCGCTGTCCGAAGACGTCTCCGTGGTCATGTGGCCGGCATGACTAAACGACAAAGAAGGCGCAAGGAAAGCTGTTCCCTTCCCACCGAAGGGGTCCCTCTTTTTCTACTTGCATTTTTACATGCTTTCGAACTGCTCGGTTGGCAGAAGCTGCTGGGACAAGGAACGGGAGCTCCTTGACGTGACGCGGCGGTAGGGATTCAAACCGCCAAACTGCTAACCTTTCTGATCGACAAGCTCAGCGTCTTAGCCACTGAGACACCACATCCCTTTTGCCCCGCTAAAATTAGTTTTCCCAGTAAAACAAGCCTAATAAAGATACCGGGTTAACAACTGAAGCAATATGGAAACCAGGGTTCCCTGGTTATAGGCCACCATCCTGCAACTGAGGGGGCCCGCTCTCTGCTCTCCCCCCGCCCCCCCAATGCTGCCATTTTCCCTGGCCAGAAAGAGGCTGGATAGTCTCTGAGGGGGCCACCCTCCTACCTTGTCTCCTTGCTCCTGAGAGATGTCCAGATGCCTCTGGCAACAAACCAAGGCTTCGTCGAACTGACCCAGGATTTTCAGCGTGTTGCCAAGGTTGCCGCTGGCTTTGCCCTCGCCGATCCGATCCCCGATGGTTCTGTGGGCATTGGGAGAAGAATGCTGGGAGTTTCTCTTGGAAGGAAGCCAGGCGGAAGTGAGGAACGGCTGGGGTGGGATGGGGGGAGAGTGCTTTCAGACTGAGCTGGAGAGACTGGAGCAGGAATTCTGGGAGTTGAAGTCCACAAGTCTTAAAGCTGTCAAGTTTGAAGACCCCTGTTCTAGAATCTAGACTGTTTCTATTTCTCTTTCTTTTCCCAGCCTCCCCATGAGCTCTTCTATCTCCCCCAGATCACGTGTCTTTCTTTTCCAGTCCAACCCCATCACCCCAAAGGGAAAATTAAACATTCTGGATTTCTTTTTCTGGGGGGAGGGGGGGAGAGAGAAGTTTTGCTGACCTGGCAAAGCTTGAGCATTGAAACCACAGACTCGGTTCCTCCTTCATGTCTCCAGAAGGCCCAGTTCTGGCTGTAGAGCCCTTACCTCAGTGGTTGTCAACCTGGTTCCCTACCGCCCACTAGTGGGTGTTCCAGTTTTCATAGTGGGCGGTAGGGGCTTTGTCCAATACTTTATAAATCACCATTACTGTGGAACCGGTGGGCGGTTAGAAAATTTTACTACTAACAGAGATAAAAAAAGTAGGCGGTAGGTATAAAAAGGTTGACTGCCCCTGCCTTACCTGGCCAGCGTGAGGTCGTGCTTATGGTACTCCAAAGCTTTGGCATAGTCCTTCAGATAGAAGTAGGCATTGCCCAGTTGGCTGTAAATGGCACTAAGCGTCTTCAGGTCCTCCGTCCCCACCTTGACTGCGTGTTCGAAGAAGGCAGCTCCAGAAGGGAAATCCCCCGCCTTGCACGCCCGCTCTCCTTCCAGGGCTAATTCCAAGCACGAGGCCTCCATCCTCCTAATGGAAACAGAAATAATCTGTCAGAGTATATTCATGAACTGGAATAGGGCTTAGTAACAAGGTCAGCCAATGAGAGCTGAGTTGAGGGCTGAAATTTAAAGAGAGAATCTGAGCGTGGTTTATCTCAGTTCTGTGCTCAGCTCTAAAGTGAAAGAGAAACTAACTTGCTTGCTTGCCTGCTGAACTAAAGTGAAACCGAGGTCTGTTTCTGAGCTCCTGAATTGCTGTTCTGCCCTGAATAGAATAGAATAGAATTCTTTATTGGCCAAGTGTGATTGGACACACAAGGAATTTGTCTTGGTGTAAATGCTCTCAGTATACCTAAAGAAAAGGTACATTCATTAAGAATCAAGAATCATAACGTACAACACTTAATGATAGTCATAGGGTACAATCAACAATCAAATCATACTAGGAAACAGTCAATATAAATCGTAAGGATACAAGCAACAAAGTTACAGTCCTACAATCACAAGAACCCATAGCTTCTTTTTGAGTTTGCTCCATGTTGGAGAAATCTACAACTGGTATTGTGAAATTTACTTCATTTGTTTATAAAGAAGTTAAATGAAGCCTCAGCCATCTGTGTTTACTTTTCCGGCGCTGAATTTACACTGCAATACTCTGAACACAATCTTGGTCAAAACATCATTTTCTAGAAATTCTCCGCTTGTGCCAGAAAAACTGTCTAGGTTTATGAGCAACCAGGAAGTGGAGGGATGTTGTATTCTTTATAAAAAAAAATGGTAATCAAGTTCAGACAAGCAAAAGAAACATGGTTGAATCTGTCCATGACTTGTCTGGGAAATTCAGGAGTGACGGCCACGGCGGATTTTGAGAGAGGGCTTAAACCTGGAGGAATAACTGTCTATCAAAGCCATCCACACATCACAGCTGTTTGCCTGTGAATTAATGATGTTCAAGAAAGTCCCACAAACACATTTGTCCTTTGGGAACAGGGGTGGGGAACTATGTTTCTTTTACGATCGGGGACCTTCAACTCCCAGAATTCCTGGCTCAGGAATTCTGGGACTTGAAGTTCAGATATTTTCTCTGTTTTAGAAAAATGCAGTCCTCAAGGATAAGACCAAAACTGGGACGGAAAATTCATCTTTAAGCAGTGTAGCCATTAAGCGATGTTAAGTCATGGAATTATGACTTGCAATCTCTCCCGATTCCCTGTTGATTTTGCTTGTCGGAAGCCACTGGGAAGATTAACAGATTAACAGAGTTGGAAGGGACCTTGGAAGCCATCTAGTCCAACCAACCACCCAAGCAGGAGATCCTATGCCATTTCTGCAAGATGGCAGTCAAGGCTCTTCTTAAAAACCTCCAGCAATGAAGTACCCACAACTTCTAGTGGCAGAAGTTTGACTGTTCCGTCAGAAAATCCCTCCTTATTTCCAGGTTGAATCTCTCCTTGTTCAGTTTCCATCCATTATTATTCCTTGTCCGGCCTTCAGGCGCTTTAGAAAACAGCTTGGCCCCCTCCTTTCTGTGACAGCCCCTCAAATATTGGAACTCTGCTATCCTGTCTCCCCTGATCCTTTTCTTACTAGTCTGTAAGATTGTAAATGGCAATCACAGTGGCCCCAGGCTCCATAACTGTTGTAAATGTGAGTTGGTTGCCAAGTAGCCAGATTGTGACCACATGACTGCAGGGATGTTGTAACGTCACAACGGCAAGGACCCATCCTAAATCAAATTTTTGCTAAATGAATGGTGGTACGTCAAGAATTACCTGCATTGTATACATTCAGAGAATTGGAGGATCTAAACTGTGAAAGGTACCTTCAAGGTCATCTATTCTACCCCACCCAGAGCAAGAATCCTTAGCCACAGATCACAAAATGGAGCCCATGGAAGGGACCTTCGAGATCATCCCGTTCAGTTCCCGACACAGAGCAGAATCCATTTCATCAAAGAGTAAAACAGAAACACTGGAGAGAGCCTGTTATTTTAATCTTTGAATGCCATCCAGGATCACTGCAATGCGGCCATATAAATTTTTAAATAAACTGACCATCAGATCATTCCTCTCCCCAGGAGTCCGCAAGTGTTTTGAGAATCTCTGCACTCATATATTCTTTCTGCATCTTATGTCTCATCAGAAATAAGACTTGAAGAGTGGACCCTATCTAACAAAATGAAATTCAATGCAGAGAAAAGTAAAGTCTTGCAGAAGAACCAAAAGTACACATATACTTAGACTTCAGCAAGGCATTCGACAAAGTAGACCACAACTTATTTCTTGGGAAGCTAGAAAAAAAGTGGAATAGATAGCACCACCACTAGATGGACTCGCAACTGGCTGACAAACTGTACTCAACGAGTAGTCCTTAATAGGTCTAAGTCAGGGGTGGGATTCTAACAGGCTTCTCACCTATTCACTAGAACCGGTTGTTAACTTTCTAAGCAGTTCAGAGAACCTCCTTTTGTTCTTTTCCACCCTTCTTGCATTCTTGGCAGTATGCCCAGACTTACTGCCTCCAAAGGAGTTTTTTTTTCCTTTGCTGGTACTTTCTTAAAGGGGAAGGGTTGTTTTAAGCTTTTTACACTGCTGTTGGGAGGAAATACTCCTCTGCTGGAGTTAGCACTTTGAAGAAATAATTGAATAATGAAGCAGAGCTGCCAAAAATAAGCTTTTTAATGACAAGGAACCAAGATAAGTGACATTCTGCAAGGCTTCCTGGCTAGCTAGAAAGATTGACATTCAAACGTGAGTTTACATACCCTTTCTGAGTTTTGATCTAAAACTGGTGACCATTCAAAGTTACAATGGCACTGAAAAAAAGTGACTTATGACCATTTTTCACACTTACAAACATTGCAACATTCCCACTGTCATGAGAGGCCAGGCAAGGAGAAGTGCCCCTTGAGTGACGTCGAATTGGCCACGCCCACCCAGTCACATGATCAGCAAGCCACGTCCACCAACTAAGCCACGTCCACAGAACCGGTTATTAAAAAAATTGAATCCCACCCCTGGTCTAAGTCTACATGGAGGGAAGTAAGCAGTGGGGTGCCACAAGGTTCCGTCTTAGGCCCAGGACTCTTCAATATCTTCATAAACAGCTTAGATGAGGGACTAGAAGGGGAATTTACCAAATTTGCAGATGTGATGACCTGAGGCATGACACAAAAATAACCCAGTCACAAAAATAGAAGAAAGTCCCTTTAATACCTCCAACTTGGCCCCAATGTCCAATTATCCTCAGCAGGATACCAAACCCTTAAAGAAAACAGTTTACGGAGGGAGTAAATGCAGTCCGCACTCAAAGTAAAGTTAATTCAAAATAAAAAACCCAACATACCACACTGAAAGAATTACTACAGCAAGCAAGGGTGATTATTTGCAGACTTCTACCAGATAACACAGCAACCACAGTTGGGAGGAAGCCAAAACACACAGATAAGCTCCAACAAGAATAAAACATGCTTTGCTTCCAGCACTGGGCCATGCCCAGTTTGTCCTTATAAACAGTCCTCACAGCTGCAGCCCATGAAGGGGATCAGAGCCCCTTCCTCCCCCGTAGACCACGCCACTCATGTTTCTCCCTTATCCGCTCCTCCCTGCGTGCCCTAAGATGAAGAGGGGATGGGCCTGGGTCTTCCTCTAAATGCCCACCCAGCTTGTGCCTTTCCCCACTTTCCTCCATAGCCACCGGAGCCACACTCCCACTCCCTGTCAGCTGTTCCATCTCTCCCTCAGAGTCAGACTCCAACAGGGGCATGACAGCCAATGATACTAAGCTGGCAGGAATAGCTAACGCTCTAGAAGATAGGCTCAAGATCCAGATGGATCTTGATAAATTTGGACACTGGGCCCTATCTAACAAAATGAAATTCAAGGTAGAGGAAAGTAAAGTCTAACACTTAGGCAAGAAAAACCAAAAGCACACATATAGAGTAGGTGAAACCAGGCTTAGTAGCAGTCACTGTGAGAGGGATCTTGGAGTCTTAGTGTGAGCATTGGACTTTTTCCCTTCAACCCAAAAGAACGAACTTCTGAAAACTAGGTGTTTCAAAAGAAATCCTTTATTGAAAGGGGTTTTATCTCAACATTAGGCAAAGCAGAATCCAGGATATCCCCAGGTATACAGTCATAAAGGAAATTTAAAACCCCTCCCCTCAATTCAGATGTGGATTTAGTCAAACAAAGAACCAACAAGTTAATTCCCCCCTCCCCTTCTCTAGGAAGGTATCTTGCAGAGTTCCCAGGAATTTCTTCCATGGCTGGAATTTTTATCATCCCTTCTCATCCTGTTATCACTTCCAGAGGTGACACGTTTCTGGACATCTGGGCTCCACTCCTCCGGATGTATATCATGTGCAAGTTATACGGAATCAATATAGGATTTAATATATTCAGGTTACATCAAAAAGGATTATTTGTACCAACTTCCCACCCACACCCCTTCTTCCATTGAAGAATGGCAGATACACGGATCTGACACTTAGTGGACAACCAATGAAACATGAGCCAGCAGTGTGCAACGGCAGCCCAAAAAGCCAATGCAATCCTCAGCTGCATTAACAGAGGGATACAATCAAAGGAGGTACTAATACCACTCTATAAAGATCCCTTCCATCTCTGTGAATCTGCTAAAGAAGAGATTGGACAACCATTTGGCTGAAGTGGTATAGGGTTTCCTGCTTCAAGCAGGGAGTGGACTAGAAGACCTCAAGGATCCCTTTCAGCTCTAGGACTTGGTGAATTATTCTGCTATTCCTAAACATTTAATGAACTTCTACAATATATGGTCAAAACAGTATCTACAAACACAGTACTTCAAGTGCGCAAAATTATCCCATTAAAAGCTTCTCCGTTTCTTCCTTGGGTGTCCATGAATTCAGCCTTGTTCGCAAACAGAAGCCTCTACTGCTTTTCACTAAACACTGCAGAATACAAAGATTAAATAAAGGAAAACATATGCTATTAAGCAACAGCATGCTAAAATATTTGCAAACCTTCTGATTTGTTTTTGTTTTTAAAT